CAATTTATGTTTCTATACAAGAATTTATGTTTCTATACAAAATTAATAATGCCACCTGTAAAAATCACTTTTAGATTCTGCGATTTTCCTTTTTTGAACCACATGTACATTCCTCACGAGTTCATTACCTTCAAGATAACTTATTTTTCTCTTAAGAGAGTTTAACAATTAATTTACTATGGGTCAGATTTATATTATCTAATGGAATATGCCAGAATAATTCTTTTAAATTATTGCAATATTGCCCTTCTCAAATGGAAGATAATTCCAAAATTCTCATGACTGCTAAACAAATTTACAATGATTTAGTTAAATGAGTAGATAATTCTCTGTTTCACAGATCCTGTCCCTCATACTTGCAGGGCACCTCCAGCTATGTCTTACTCTTTCACCATCGCAGCTGTTTATTTAGCATTTCATTTATCAGCTATCCATGCCCATTAGGTGATATCTTATTGGGTTTTTCTGCCAGCATAGAAAGTATAGATGAACAAGGAAGAGTAGGAAAGAGAAATCTGCTACAATGAAAGGGTTGAAATGCAACGTATTTTGAAGTCTTACTGCATTCTTTTCTGGGCTACTCAGAATAAATGTGAATGACCTACACACTGTGCATACAGACAAACTCATCAAGTGGGTTAGAAAGGTTACATCTACAGTGGCCCAGCTCCAAAGCAGTTCAAATAGAGCCCTTGCATATCCACATTAAAACAGAGCAATTTCTCTTTATAAACCACTGCTGTTCCATAGTTCATGATTCTCATCTCTCTTGGTATTCGCTTCAGTGCTGGACCCAATGCTTGTCATTCTAGTAAGAGGGGATCTTTGCAGATATGAAATGCAAATGCCATCTTCACAACATTAGTTTTTTTTGGACCAACATTTTCACTTCAATTTGTCTGCTTGGTTAATGAATGTTTTAACTCCACAATGATAGCAACCCTGAAAACAGTCTATAAAGTTTTATTCAGTCCATTATGATTAGACTCATGTTTCTTCTACTGGCCTTCAGTGTTGCACCAAAATAAAACAGATTTGGTGTTGCTACTACAGTTACTATAAACACATAAAACATCATGCAAAGACTAAGCATTCAACCACATAAAGCAGGGTGCATAATTACACAGCAGCTGCTCACTGGCTCTGCAGATTTAACCCTGTGAGTAGAATTTGGCCTGATGATTTGGAATGGGATTCAAACAGATGCCCACACTTCTCAAACAGCTAAGACTTAGTTTAATGTTAAAGCAGAATGTGAGCTAGATCCGTATCTTCATAATTCTGTAATTTATTTTGTCTAGGATGTACAGCTATAAAAAATATTGCTCCAGTGTCAACTCCCTTTTATTTCAAACCTGCTTTTGCTGTTACCTCCACTCTTGGGGTGAAGCAGGGCTGTACAGAAACACCACCTGCATAGATCCCCAAACCAGAAGATGCTCTGGGAATCCAGATACTGAGGGATATATGTATCCAGCATACAGGGGTGTCAAAGGGTTTTGGCACTGCCAAGAAATTCCTGTGAATTACTTTTCTGAGTTTAAATGCCTGCTTCCCCCTTGAATGCCAAACATGCATCACTAGCTCTTCTACTGGTATCTAGCACTGAGGCATGGTATTGCAAGACACCAGAAGCATGAAAATGAACAAAAATTAGCACCTAGCTTTAAAAAAGGCTTTTTAGCCCTTTATATGATTAGCCCTAGCTCTCCTAAAGCTCTCTCATCAAAAGTAGTTTTTGAAAGTGGGACATGGCTATTTGAAAATCTCAGATACTACTAAGGTCAGGGAGACTGCTGCTGTAAGGCAGCTGAAAGCTTTACAAGAAAACCACAGGAGCACTGGGAGGATAGTGCTTTAAATACACAGTCCTGTTTTCAGCTACCAGCATGAGCATCCTTTTGGAGAGAACAAGTAGTTTCCTTTGCAAGAGCTGTCCTAAACAGCCCATAACCTGCTCCAGCACTGACCCTCCCACAGGGAAGAGGGGACCTGCAGGATGTCTCCATCTGGCTCACAACCATCTCCCACACCAACAACGTAGAGGGGTCTGCTCCAACTGGCAGCTGGATTAGGTGACCTCCAGCACTCCCTCCCAGGCAATACTATGCCATGGATCCTAAAAGAGCTGGAAATAAGCTTCTTGTTGTGTCAAACAACACTGTCTTATTTAATACATGGTGAAAAAAGGGAGCCAGGCCGCCTTCAGTGTATACAGATACACACACACATACATGTATGCATGTTCAACACTTGCACCACATCCTGCCACCCCACTGAGGGGGAAGGATGGGGGAAGGGAGCACTGATCTCAATCCGTCAGATCCCAGGATGCAGATAACTGGGCAAGCTGGGTAGCACACTATTGCCAGATAATGACAACAACCTTTTCAATGGATTAAAAATTCATCCAGAAAGGTGATAAAGGAGATTTTCAGAGGAAAGGAAAGATCAAAATAATAATAGTTTCAAAGCACTGTACTTATTTTAGACATTCTTACAGCATGTTTCCATAGGAACTAGAATGCAAAGGAGCACACTGCAGCAGTGTTCCCAAATGTTGCGTGGTTTAGTGGCTTGTAAAGGATCAGTTAAGGCCACCATGACCATTCTGACAGAGCCAGGCACCTGCTGCCCTTGCTGCACAACAGGATCTTAGCTATGATGTTTTGGAAAATGTAGGAAAAGAACAATTTTTTCCTGTATTTTTTTCCTCTCATCCTGCAGACATGGATGATTTCACATCCTCACACAGCCACATTTCTGAGCACTGCCCAGCCAGACCCACTTCATGTGGGGTGTGAGGACAGCAGTGTTTAACCCAGACATTTCACAAATCTGTGTGGGAGGGGTTGTTTGGTTGCTGGGGAGGTGGGGTGTCCTAAAGGGTAGCACATGGGCCTGGCTTTTGTATCCAGCTTTGGTACCCACCTGCTGAGTGCCCTTGTGTAAGTCACGTCAGGTGAGATCTGCTCCATCTGTCAGTTGCCTGAAATGCATCTAACCCAGCTCAGCAGGTAAGCACTTCCCTGGCCAACAGGACAGCAGGACAGTGTCTATCCTGCCAAAGACACACCACAGACACGCCTCTCGTTCCCAAAGCACCCATGCACAGTCACCCCTACACCCACCTAGTCACACCCATACACTAAGCCCTTTGCCCACACGTCAATGTGCCTTGTGGCAAGTGATCATTTTCTCCATTCAAAACTGTCTGATACAAAGCGAGGTCTGTGTCACAGCACACCAGAGCAGCGTTTAACTGCATGAAGTGTGTACTGCATGTCTTGCAGCAAGGCATGGGCAGGATGGTGCTTTTGGTAACCCTTCTACTGGGACAGCACTGGAGGACGTTTACGATGTGGGGAACCAGACATGGTGCGGTGTCACCCTTCAATCCTCCCGTGTCAGCCCCCTCAGTAAGCTGTCCTGAAAACTAAAATGGGATCTTTCTCAGGCAGAAATAATTAGATGTCTCCAAAAGACAAGTGTTTGAAGCAAAGAACTCAGCCTATGAAATCTGGGAGACAAGGACCTGGGACTGAACAGGAGAATTAAGCTATTTAACTGCACAGACATCATGTACTCAAAGAGAACAAAGCTGCTCCAGAGTGTAATGAACTGAGCACCTCTCCCTTTGAAGTGGTGTGAGCCTGAATGACCAGTTTAACTTTAGATGGTAAAAATGAGACAAAATTACTCCCACCTCTTGTGCTGTCATTCCTGAATGCATGCAGCAGTGCAGTGACAGCAATCCCATTTTTAAAGGACTTTCTCACCAACTTATGACAAGGGCTGGGTACTAGTTACTTGTACTTATAGGTTGAGAAAAGAATAGAACTTTGTTACTTACAGATTTTAAAACCCCTAATATACATATATATTGAAACCTGCCTGACTCATACAAGTAAAGGTGGATAATTTTCAACAATCAGGGTAAGACACATTCTTCCTTGGATCTGCCAGGTTTAACTTCATAGTTCAGTAAGAAACTAAGCCAAAAAGCTGGCCAAACACCTCTATCCAGAAATATCATATAGATCACAGCTGGCAGGGCAAAGCAATCTCACCTCAAACAATCACTATTAATCACCTATAGATATCTTTATGTTATTGCAGAAACGTGAAAAACTTTTTTTTGAAGTTACATGTTGTAAATCAGGGGTTCCCTATAGCACAGAGGTATTTTACAAACAGCGTAAGAAACATATTAATTTATATATTCAGATCCTCCACATACTTCAGTGTTTCTTACTCATCAAAGCAACTTCTGCTGTACATACTGTCATAAGAATTCATATTTAATTACAGATTTGACAAAAATATAGATATAGGATGTCTGAAACCATGTTGTATTTAAAATTTTACGACAACAATTTCAGTCAGTGGAAGGACAGAAGAAAACAGGAGCCCTGACAGCCTCACACTGAAATTCTCTATTTAAAACTGGATTATATAAAAGAAGAACATTCTGATTATTCAATCTCTTTCCGTACCTCTCCAATAAAGCCACTTTTGATTTGAAACTGTATCCCATTATGTCTACACCTTTCATTTTAAGGATCCGAAGCAGTATGTTACAAATACACATATTATCTATGCTCCAGTGCCTCTGAAGTCATACACTGAAGTGGCAGAAGACATGCTGTAATGCTAATTTTCCAATCCAAGTGAAATTTACTGGCCCAAACCAGTGCTGCAACAGAGATGCAAAAGCAGGATATAAGTTTTGCACACCTGCGTGTATTTGCACAACTCCAGATGCAAACACTGAAATTCCCAGCTGGGAACAACGTCACAAGCCACAGTAAGGTGTAGTAAACACAGAGAGCAGTCTATTTCACAGCCCAAACTAAATAAAACACACATAGCATACAGACAGCATATAGTATATACATATTAGAATTTCTGATAATGTTATTTTTACACTGGGTAACTAAGACTATAATAAACAAGAGTACAGTGTTCTGCACTGGACAAGCCAGCTACTGTGAACTTACCCAAGCACTCAGCTTTCTGTTCTGGGTCCCCTTGCAGGCAAGTCAGATCCAGGTCTTCTCTCTCGCATCCAAACATTGTCTGTTTTTACCCGAGACCACATCTCACTCCAGGAAACCATTGCCTTCAAAGGGAGCACCAATGTCCAGGGCAGCTAGTGAGCCTGGCTAGGGCCAGACTACAGGACCTCCCTAGGGACTAAGAACAAGCAGGGATCTACCAGCCTGGCCACCCACTCCTGAAAGTGTTTCTCCAGCTTAGCTTTCCCACCATAAATTCTTGACGCAGAAAAACAATTAAAAAAAAGCAATCCAGTCATTTATCCTCCAGGCTGGAGAGAAAGGAGGCTGCCACAGCAGTGCCTGTTTTGAATGCTTGGCAGGTACACAGGCACAAGGGGGATGATGCTATAGATAAGCATAGACAGAAATAGCTAGAAGGATGAGCTGGCTCGGGGTAGCAGTGGTGAAAAGCAGCAATCTCCCTTCTCCCGTGATTGCACCAAAACCAGCAGCTGACCCGCAGACTCACCAAGAGTGCTGGTAGCAGAGGGTCCCCCCAAGCTCTGAACTTCACACTGGAAATATCCCCTTCGTACAGATTCGCTTCCCCATCTTGGGTTTGTGCTTTGAGGGCTGCATCTTCTCAGCCTGCTTCTGACTCAGAGCACAAAACCTGCTTGCTGCCTCTCGGCAGTTTTGGTGCTGTTCCCAGAATCCTGCCAAGAAGCTGCAGCTCACAGATCCCCCTGCGCCAGCAGGAAAATCCAGTAACTATGGCTCAGAAAATACTGCCGATGCATCGACCTGAAGTATCTGGGCAGCCACCTCATCTCTCCCCCATGAGCAGCCTCACACAGTTCTCCCTACTGCTCTTGCCAGCCCACAAAGAGACAAGCAGAGAGGTGTCACCTGGCACTTACACAACCCAGCTGCAAAAATACAAAACAGTTAAATGTAAGAGTTTTACCCAGCTGCCACCATTTAATAACCCTTTGTTTCCCTCTCTCTCTCTGTATGGGAATAAAGTCTGATTTTCTTCTAAAATTGGAGAATAGTCTCACTTGACTGTACCTGCACTGGGAAACAAGAAGGATTAAAAATCTTGCTTTATAAAGCTAATTGAGCAGGAAAAGATTAGCAAGTGCCTCCTCTATTCTGTGCAGTATCAATCCCACAAGGGACACAGATCCCAAGGAACACAGATCTTTGGCTGTCAGTATAATGAGACAACGCTGAGAACCCCAAGGCTTGAAAAGGGTTGAGACAGGGAAGGACACTCTGAGCTCAGTTAGAGGTGGCAGTCTGGAAAAGCAGACTCAGTCTGAAAAAAAAGGTGCAAAAAAAGATATGAAGCTAAGTAAAGGGAGGGGAGCATCACTGCTGTGGTTTCACTAGTGGGAAGCAAAAGTGGTGGTGGCATAACATGGTGTGCACCTGAGAGGAGACAGACCACAGAAGACCTGGACTCAGTCACAGACAAGTGAAATTATGTGATAAAGCAGAATTCATGAGCAGGGCATACAGCCAGGCATATGGGAGCACAACAGAAGGAGGGAACAGGCATGGGAAGAAAGAGATGTGAGGAGAAGAATGATCTGAGACACAAATGAAAAACTCAGTGCTTAGAAAAACACTGGGAAAAAAGTGAGGAAAAGTAAATCACAAACCAACATTAACCCCATTTTAAATGAAATTGTGCAGGATCTGCTGCTCCCACTGGATCAGTCCAAATCTATGGGGTCTGATGGGATTAATCCCAGAATCCTCAAAGAGCTGGCTGCTGTCATCACAAAACCTCTCTCAATTTTTGAGTGGTCCTGGTAATCCAGAGAGTTCCTAGCAGACTGGAAGTTGGTGAATGTTGTTCCAGTTTTCAAGAAGGGCAAGAAGAACCTGAAAATTACAGATCTGTCAGTATCATTTCAGTGCCTGGTAAAGTTATGGAGAAGATTATTCTGGGAGGTATTGAAAGACAATGCAGTCATCAGTCACGGCTTCATGAGAGGAATGTCCTGCTTACCAGACCTGATTTTCTTCTATGACAAGGTAACCCTCGTAGCTGATCAAGGAAAGCCAGTTGATTTAATCTTTTTGGATTTCAGTAAAGCTTTCAATTCTGTCTCTCACAGGGTTCTTCTGGACAAAATGTCCAGCATGCAGCTAGATGAACAGATCGTGAGGTGGGTAGTAACTGGGTCAAGTGGATGGGGTAACATCAGACTGACAATCTAGTGGGATTCTACAGGGCTCCATCTTGGGCCCTGTGCTCTTCAACATTTTCATAAATTACCTGGACACAGGACTGGAAGGGATACAAAGCAAGTTTGCAGACAATATAAAACTGGGAGTAGCTATCTGTTGCCTCCCTCAAAGGCAGAGAGGCCCTGCAGAGAGATCTTGACAAATTAGGAGACTGGGCAATCACCAACCATGTGAAGATCAACAAGGAGAAGTGCTGGATTCTGCACCTGGGATGGCACAACCCCAAATGTTCGTACAAATTGGGGAATGAGATGCTGGAAATCAGTGCTGCAGAAAGGGACCAGGGAGTCCTGGTCAACAGCAAGTTGAATATGAGTCAGCAGTGCCCTGGCAGCCAGGAGGGCCAACCGTGTCCTGAGGAGCATCAGGGAAAGCATCGCCAGCTGGTCAAGGGAGGGGATTGTCCTGCTCTGCTCTGGTGCAGCCTCATCTGGAATATTGTGTGCAGTTTAGGGCACTACAATATAAGATATTTAGCTCTTAGAGAGCGTCTAAAGTAGGGCAGTGAAGATGGTGAAGGGCCTTGAGGGGAAGCCGTATGAGGAGTGGCTGAGGTCACGTGGTCTAGTCAGCCCAGAGAAGAGGAGACCTCACTGCAGTTACAACTTCCTTGTGAGGGGAAGAGGAGGGGCAGGCACTGATCTCTTCTCTCTGGTGACCAGTGACAGGACCAAAGGGAATGGCCTGAAGTTGTTTCAGGGCAGGTTTAGGTTGGATATTACTCTTCACCCAGAGGGTGGCTGGGTGCTGGAACAGGCTCCCCAGGGAAGTGGTCACAGCACCAAGCCTGACAGAGTTCAATAAGTGTTTGGATGATACTCTCAGGCACATGGTGTGACCTGTGCAGGGCTGGAGGTTTGACTCGACGACCCTTGTGAGTCCCTTCCAACTTAGGGGATTCTGTTAATCTCCTGAGCCTAAAAATGTCACGTTCTGATATATGTTCCAATTCCCTCAGGGTTTACTCCCTTGTAACTGCTGCAGAGCTGCTCCAGTGGTGCATTACTTCACCCATTGAACCATGGTCATGTGTCCAGCACGAGGTGGGGGACATTCCTGAGAGCAAGGGGACAAGAGGCCCCTAGCACAGTGCCAGTGGCAAGGCAGACAGGAGCCATGCCACCACAGCACTCTTCACGTCCCATGTCACCACTACATTTACCTAGGAAGGAGGCACATACAGATCTAGGATCAAACACTGCTATTACACTAGAGCTGCTGCCTTGCACACCAGCTGCCAGCACCGCTAGCTCAGGTTGCTTGAGGAAACCTTGTAGGCTACAACCATCTTATTAAATTCCTAGGTAGCTTCCCAGGAATGAGACCACCTTCCAAGACAGGACTGAAATGGGTGACTGGATGCAGACAGCCTACTGGGAGACACGTCCTGACCCTCTAACTCTCAAAACAGGCCTGGGAACCCACTGGGAGAAAGCTAGCTGGCAGGGGTCAAATTTGGGCCAGGGACCACTCCAGCAGTTCCCCAATGCAGGCAGACAGGCTTTCCTCAGGGCCTGGCAGTGCTCTTTGTTAACAGAGACAAACTTGCAGCTTAACATAATACCGTGGTTGTTCAGACAAAACCTATTATTTTTTCATCCCACTTCATTTGTCTTGACTACTCTAGAAAATCAGTAAAAATAGTGTGTTTGTCATGGTAAGAAAACTCAAGAACCTAAAATAAATAGCTTTTGAGATAAGGCTGAAAAAGGAAAATATTAGGTTCGGAAAGATAAAACTTACAAATGATAGCAGAGATACAAGGAAAAAACTTAAATTTTATGCAAACAGAAGCAACAGCAAGGGCAAGCTTTAAACAATTTGTGCCCAGAAACAGTCTTCAGGCACATTTATGTGTGTTTTCAATGAAGGAAAACATTGCTATAAAAATTACTGCACATTTTTCTGATTATGTTGTCTTGTTAGACAAGAATCAATGTTGCATGACAGTGTTTCAGTAGTCCTAGAGCACCCACTGAAGTTTAAACTAAAGCTTTTCAAACTCATTAAACAAAGTATATGTGGACCATTAAAATAAAAAGTGTGTCTGAAAAATTTACAGGGTGCAAACTGTTCATTTTTAAAATATTCCTATCAGCTAAAGTTACCTTATTTCAAATTAATGGAGAAGTATGTTTGAAAAGAAGGTAAAGGTGATCAGAAACTAGGTGGGGAATTTTTTGGCAGTTGATTAAAATAATTATTTTGCATCAAGCAGCTGATAAATTAATACCTGCCTTTGTGAGTGTTTTGAACTACTTTCACAATAAGGTGAACAGTTACCACGTTTTCTTTGTCAAAGGGAGAACACAGTTGAAATGTTTACAGTTTGATGTTTACCATTTAAATGATGGGCAAGAAAACAAGAGCAGTAACAGATGGGCTTCTTTGAACTGAATTTACGTTATTTGGAGCTATTTCTGGTTAAAAAATACCACATAGCAAACACAATATGCCTCCCTGCTACATAATATTAATCTGAGATTTAACATCTACAATTGTTGAATTAAAAGTGAACTGCAGTCCAGTTTTTAAGATATATGATTAAGACAACTTAGTGTTCCATTTTAAAATTTCAAAGCTGTTGAACAAACTATTTTATTTGCAAAGAAGTCTTAAATATCTGTTTATCATTTTACTGGGATTTGGCTGCTGACTACTTTCACATCTAAAAACCTGCCTTGGATGTCTGATCTTCTTCACCAGCACCAAGTGAAAAACTGTCTTAAGCTCTTTTTTCTACAAGTAATAAACACTTTTGAAAACTGATTTGGAATATCCCTATAGGCAACCATACACATACAGCTTATTTGCCAGTATAGTTTTAGGAGGACACTCTTCCACCTGAACTATCACATACATCAGTCTTGCCCTAGACCACTGAGTCAGCAAAAGTGAGGATACCCAGTTTGCCCCTAGGAAATAAACTAGCGACAGATACCAGCACTCCTCATCAGTCAAGTCAGCAACAGACAAAAAACGCCCATACAAACCTTGTTTATTTACAAACACTGTTGTAACAAAAAAGGGATGTTCCCAAGAACCATTTAAGTATGAAATCACACACAAAACCAACACCATGAACTGAAGCAGCTCACAAGAACAGATGCAACAACACTAGGAATAAAAACCTAAAATGCTTTCTTTATCTACAAAGAACTTGTGTGTCAGGATATGCTGGTTTGGGCTGGGTTATAGTTAATTTTCTTCACAGTAGCTGCTAAGGATCTGTGTTTTGGATTTGTGCTGGAAAAAATAAAGTGTTGATAATTCAGGGATGTTTTAGATACTGCTGAGCAGGGTTTACACAGCATCAAGACCTTTTCTGCTCCTCACCCCACCCCACAAGCAAGTGGGCTAGAGGTACTCAAGGAGTTGGGAAGGGGCACAGCTGACTCCAGATGACCAAAGGGATATCCCCCACTATGTAGTGTCACGCTCAGCATATAAAGATGGGGGAAGAAGGAGGAAGCGAACAGGAGGATGTTTG